ACTTGGTGACCACTTCTCTGGGGACCCTGTTCCACTGCCCAACCATCCTCTGGGTGAAGAACTTCCTTCTAATATCCAACCTAAACCTCCCCTGACACAACTTCAGGCCATTCCCTCAGGTCCTGTCACTGGTCACCACAGAGAAGAGATCAGTGTGCCTGCCCTTCTCTTCCCCTCACGACGAAGTTGCAATGATGTCTCCCCTCAATCTCCTCTTCTCTAGGCTGAACACACCAAGCGACCTCAGCTGCTCCTCATATGGCTTTCCCTCAAAGCCCTTCACCCCCATGGCCCTCCTTTGGATGCTCTCTAATAGTTTAGTATCCTTTTTACATTGCAGTGCCCAAAACTGCACACAATATTCAAGGTGAGGCCATACCAGTGCAGAGCAGAGCAGGACAATGCCCTCCCTCAACCGGTTGACGATACTTTTTCTGATGTCCCCCAGGACACAGTTGGCCCTCCTGGCTGCCAGGGCACTGCTGACTCATATTCAACTTACTGTCAAACAGGAGCCCCAGGTCCCTTTCTGTGGCACTGCTTTCCAGTATCTCATTCCCAGTCTGTACAAACATCCAGGGTTGTCCCATCACAGGTGCAGAATCTGACACTTTCCCGTGTTGAACTTCCTGTGGTTGGTGACTGTCCAGTTCTCTAATTTGTCGAGGTCTCTCTGCAGGGCTTCCCTGCCTTCAAAAGAGTGAATAGCTCCTCCCAGTTTTATGTCATCTGCGAACTTGTCTAGTATCCCTTCCAGTCCTGCATCCAAGTCATTTATGAAGATGTTGAAGAGCACTGGGCCAAGGATGGAGCCCTGTGGAAACCCACTAGTGACAGGTCACCACTCTGATGTTACCCCAATCATTATTACCCTCTGTGCTTGACCCATGGGCCAATTGCTCACCCACCATATGATGTGTTTATCCAACTGTGGACTGGACATTTTGTCCTGGAGGATCCTGTGAGAGACAGTATCAAAAGTTTTACTGAAATCCAAAAGGATTACATTAACTTGCTTCCCCTGATCAACTGTGTGGGTTACCTTGTCATAAAAGGAAATTAGGTTTGATAAGGAGGACTTTCCTCTCCTGAAGCTGTGCTGGCTGTGACCAATGACTGCATTGTCTTTCAGGTGTTTTTCAATACTTTCCAGAAAATTCTTCTCTGTAACTTTATACCAGGCACTGAAGTGAGACTGACAGGCCTGTAGTTTTCAGGGTCCTCCTTCTTGCCCTTCTTGAAAATCAGGACAGCTTCCAGTCAGCTGGGACCTCTCTGGATTCCCAAGACCGCTCAAAAATCATCAAGAATGGTTTTGCAATGACATCAGCTAGTTCTTTGAGGATTCTGGGATGAGTCACATCAGGCCCCCCGGATTTGCAGGGATTCAGCTGGAGCAGCAGATCCCACACAATTTCAGAGTTGACTGGGAGTTGATCATTCTCGCTGTCATGGTCCCTCAGCTTAGGGCATTGAGACCCCCTTGGTCTGTCATCTGTGTTGAAGATAGAGGCAAAGAAAGTATTAAACACCTCTTCCTTGTCTCTGTCCCTGTTTGGGAGGTGACCATTCTCATCTTGTAATGGGACAACAATATTTCTATACTGCCTATTGCCATTACTATATTTGAAAAAACTCTTTTTATTGTCCCCCACATTTCTGGCCAGCTGCAATTCCAGCTGAGCTTTGACTGCATGAATTTTCTCCCTACAGCAGCAAGCAGAATCTCTGTATTCTTCTCATGTCACTTGACCTTGTTTGCAGTGGGCATACGACTTCTTTTTTTGCCTTATTTCAAAGAAAAGATCCCTGCTCAGCCAAGCTGGTCTTCTGCCTCACCTGCTTGACTTCCAACATTTGGGAATTGCCTGCTCTTGTGCCCTTAGGAGTCATTTGAAAAGTGACCAGCACTGATGGAGCTGCAAAAACATTTTTCCAGGGGACCTTACTTACTAATTCCCTTAGCAGCCTGCTCTCCTCATGTCCAGAGTTGAGATTTTGGTGGCACTTTTCCTCCTGTCAACAGAAAATTTAAACTCGATCACTTCATGGTTGCTGTGGCCAAGACGGTCACCAGTCCCCACTTCACTCACAAGATCCCCTCTGTTGACAGGCAGCAGATCAAGGAGGGCATCTTTCCGAGCTGGGTCCTTTAGGACCTGTTCCATAAAGTTGCCGTCCAGTTTTTTTAGGAATCTTCTGGCCCAGGTTGTACCAGCTGTGTGATGCTCTCCATTAATTTCTGGAAAGTTGAAGTCCCCCATGAGGATGAGGGCAGTTGACTTGGAAGTGTCCCTTAGTTCCTCAAAGAATAATTTTGTCTATCATCATCCTGGCTGAGAGGTTTATAGCAGACTCCCACAATATAGCTGCATTATTTGTTTGCCCCTTGATTCTTACCCAGAGGCTCCCAACTGTGCCATTGCCAGCTGTGGGCTCCATACATTCTAACCTTGCTATCACATACAGTGACACCCCTCTGCCTCTTCTGATCAAACTAGAATTTGTTTTCCATCCAGGTATAATGTGTAGCAGAGCCTTGTAATGCTTTAGACCAAAATCCTATAGGTTCTTTCTGATTTTTTTGGCCCAGTTGTCTGTCACAACCCCGTGAGACTACATCATCTAGAATTACTACTTCTGTTTCAAAAGGATATCCTTGCTTAGGAGTGTGAAGTTGGGCCTGTTCAATCAAAGCATTTTTGCAGGCATCAAAGGTTGCTGCCATTCTTGTTGTTGCTTGGTCCATTGGCAAACAACTTTCTTCTTAGTCAGTTTCTGCAGAGAGTACATTACAGGAACACAGCCATGACAGCTCACCCCTGCTGACCAAATGTATGTTCTACACCATATGACATCATGGTTGGTGTATGAAGTAGGGAGAAGAAAGAAGGGGAGAAAGTTTGGAGTGAGGGCGTTTGTCTTCCCAAGTCACTGTTACCCTGCTTTCCTGGAACTGGCTGAATATCTGCCTGCCGATGGGTAGTGGTGAATTAATTCCTTATTTTGCTTTGTTTGCGTGCACAGCTTTTGCTTTCCCTCTTAAACTGTCTTTATCTCAACTCACGGGTTTTCGAGCTTTTACCCTTTCAATTCTCTCCTTCATCCTGCTGGGGGAGAGTGAGCAAGTGGCTGGGTGGTTCTTAGTTACTGGCTTGGGGTAAACCACAACAACCCCCAACAAATACAGACACACAAGGCACACTCCATTGTTTCCTGCTTCTGGTGTATTTTTAAAACACAAGGCAAGATTCATCAGCTCTGCCTGGGTGAGCATAATGTCATAATGAGGTAACTAATCAGGTTCAAAAGGGAGTAGAAAATCTCATTGACAGTTCTAGGGGCATGAAGGGTCCCCGCATTATTTTTGAGCTGCAATGGCTTTGCAGAAGTATCACCCAGGAGAAATCTGCAGCAACTTCATCCAAATATCTGGTTCCTGCCACAGTGATGCTACAACAGCACAATCATAGTGCATAATTTTTTAATGCTACTCTCCTTAAAAAAGGTGAAGAAAGAAGGTAAAGGGATTCAAACAGTAAAGCATAATATTTATCTGTAACTTCAACTTCAATTGTTAAGGAAGCTTATTTGATTAGTACCACCAGATGTTTCATGCAACATGTTAAGCTTCATCATGCTTCTTCAGTTCTCAGCTCATTAGTTCATTAGGACAGAAGATTTTGCTCTAGATCTCCCACTCCAAAACAGGAACACAGTATTTCCAAAAGCAAATTTTTCCACAAAGTAATGAGCACCCTCTTGCGTTCATGGTGAGCAGAGGCCACGGCCTTGTCATGCTGGAAGCTGTGTTTCAGCCAGCATCATATAATCCATATGCCTCTTCTACACCTAGAGAACAACTCACTGCTCTCCCCAGTTGGCTACATACAACTCTAAGTAGACATTGAGCAACCAGATTCAAAAGAGTGTGAGAAACAACCATAATGCTGAAGACACTCATTAAGGGATACATGTATGAGTCACTCATCATGATGGAAAAGATAGAATTTTGGGCTGGCACGGTCTCTTGATTGCTATGAAGAATAATGAAAGCATGTAAAGACAACAGTGCAGGGCTTAATTAAGTTGTGCTGGTGATGAATCCCATGCTTTAAGGGTAACAGCCACCTCCGCCTGTTGCAGAAGAGAAATGTGACCGGACAAATATCCTTCTCAAAGGTCCTTTGCCTGGACCCAAATTAGCATTGCGCTGCATACAGGAAGGTGAGACTGTGGTGCAGCTGACGGTGTCACAGCTCCTGGAGAAAGGCACAACAAAGACTTGTTTTGACCAAACTGGTAAAGTCTTGATAATTCTACATGAAATGAATGTCCATCACTGAGGATATCAGGGAAGACAATGGGGCTTTCAGGTTTTTCTGGTAGCATAATCCATCTTTTTATACTTTATACTGCTAGAAAAGGTAGAAATTCTTGAAATGGTCATGGAATTTACTTACTTTTTTTTTTTGTCTATATAATAGAAAGTATGTTTTTCTATTCTCTCTCTCAAAAAAAAAAGAAAAAAGAGAGGAAGAAGAACTTTATTAGAACAAAGGATTAGATGCATCTTAGAAGAGGAAAGTTGTGTGGCTTACATAAATTACATAAACTGTGTTCATGAGTCTTTATCATTTAAATGCAGAGAACAGTCTGGCATTAGAACATTTGGGGGTTTTGTTTTGGTTTTTTGGCCTGCTGTATGTTCTTAGATATGGCTCTATCTGAATAGACAGCTCCAACTGTGAAATGGCTAAGTACTAGAATCATATAATCATAGAATGTTAGGGGTTTGGAAGGGACCCTAAAGATCACCTAGTCTCAGCCCCCCCTGCCCTGGGCAGGAATACCTCCCACTAGACAAGATTGCTCAAGGCCTTATCCAACCTGACTTTGAAAATTTCCAGCTTGTTGTCATCAGTGCACTTGCTGAGGGTGCCCTTGATCCCACTGTCCATGTAATCAACAAAGATGTTGAACAGGACTGGCCCCAGTACCAGCCCCTGCATCACTGGTCTCCACGTGGAAAAAGAGCTGTTGATCACAACTTTTTGCGTGCAGCCATACAGCCAGTTCTTTATCCATTGAGTGTTCCATCCATCAAATCCATGTCTCTCCAATTTGGAGACAAGGATGTTGTGCAGGACAGCATCAAATGCTTTGCATAAGTCTAGGTAGACGATGTCAGTTGCTCTGCCCCATTCACCAATGCAGTAGCCCCATCATAGAAGGTCACCAAATTTGTCAGGCATGATTTCCTCTTCATAAAATCAGGTTGGCTGTTACAGCCTACAGGAAAATACAGCTAATAGTTCAGCTGTGCAATACGATAAGTATAAGAGATAGTCATGACCATGCATGTGTTTTCTCCGCATCCAGGTTCCATGTCATTCAATTCCTGAGCAATTCTCACTTAGGAGGTAATTATTCCCTTGTTTTGTTGGGGTTTTTTCCCTTTCCTTTTCTGGTACTCAGTATGTGGCCCTGCTCTTTATCTCAATAACAAACAGTAGAGAAATATGCATTTATTTACTATTAATAATTTCCAACAGAATCTTCAGGGCATTCTAATGGCTTGAATTATCCCTAGAAATTTAGAGAGACGCATCTGTTGAAATATACCGTTCTCTGATTAAACTGCTATGCCTTACTTGCTTCCTTCTGGTGGCTCTACAAAAAATAGTTAGGCAGTAGACTTTCACAGAACTTTCTAGTGTGGGTGACACACTAAACTAAGATTTGCAGTCATCGTGCACTAGTGATACTCCTAGGTTTTGGTAATGATGTGGGTTACAGGAGAAAACTCAATGAATGTAGCATGTTTTGCCATAAAACCTTTAAGCCTTTGTGAAGTAAACCCACCTTTCTCACTCATTTCATTTATTCTCATTGATAATTCTTCACCTAATTTTTTCTGTTATGATGAAAGCATGGGAAAGTGTTACTGTAATCTTGATAATTATCAGTTTATCTAAATGTAGCAGTGTGTGGGGAAAGGGAACTCAAAGAAAGTCTCCTGTTGAGAATGTTTGAACTGTTGGGATATGTAAGCTGGCTCATTTATTTCTTTCTATGGTCTGAAAATATCCACATATAAATTTAAGCTTGTGATTGTGTCAACAATGCAAACCCTTGCAGCTGTGCCTGCCTGTTTCTGATTAAATTGCTTTAGAAATAATCTAAAACTCTGTATTTCATTCAAATATGAAACAAACTAATTTCTGACACATGAAACATTTTATGATATGGAACTTTCTCGTAGCCAGACTTGGTGAGTTGACTGAAAGGTCTAGTGAATCCAGTTTTGTACTCTTTCAAGAAGGCCACTGGACAGTTCCTAAGGATCAGTCAAGGGCTCGACTGAGGAGTGTCTTCAATGAAGCACATCCCTTCATGAGACTGTAGCTCTTCACGGAGCATCATGCCCACGATTTACTTTTGTCAGAACAAATCTTCTCTGAGAGAGTGCTGTGGTCAGCCACAGAGCTCTGGTTATCCCTACAAAGTGGTGTTTGGATGCAGAGAACTTGTGCTCTGAAGCCCCAGTGCCATGTACCCTGGAAAGGACACTGCTCTTTCAGTCACATGGCATGTCATGACTGGTTGGCAGGACCAGTCCCCCCTCAGCCTGTTTTCCCAGAAACCCTCCTGATCAGGGGGCTGCTAGGTCCATCCTGTCCCCTTGGCTGCAGAGAACGGCAATGCAGGGAGCAACACAGTAATTCCACCTGGGCACAGGCACCAGCAGCCTCGATTTGGCCCGTTCTCCTTTGCAAATGCAATCCTTCCCTTTCAGGCTCTTCCAGAAACTGCCCCATTGTTGCGGTTGCAACAGGAATTCCTGTGGGAGGAGTACTGCCAATAGCGTCCCGGGGCTCGAGGTGGGCTTGGCTCATGGTGGAGTGAAGGGTCAGGGAAAGACACCAGGAGAAGGTAGAGAAAGCAGCACCCAGAGACTTTGTCAGGGAAATAGCAATTTATTTCCTGTCTCTTGAATGAAGCCCTGCTAGTTCTGCGGATGGGGTGGCCTCTTGCAGGGCTGGGGAGAGTCTGGGAAACTGGCAGCTCTCCTCCTTGGGGCACGCCGAGGCCTCCTGCGGAAAGGGTCCCGGTCCCGGCCCCGGCTGGGGCTGCGGCTGCCGCCTTGGGTAGAGGGACCTGCCGCTGCTGCCTGCTCCAGCTCCTCCTGCTCTGCAGGAACGGGATCAGGCGGGTGCGGGCTGTGGAGCACAGCTTCCGATGTGCTGAGTCGGTCCTCTACGTTGGAGCCTACAGGGCTGCTGCCAGGAGCTGGGTGGAGGGCGGGAATACCCCCCTGATGGGTGCCGGGGATGGCCTCAAGATTGTTTTCCTCCACTCTGCGAGATTCTACCGCCTCTTCCCCGAGCCCCTCCTGCTCCCACAGCTCCTCTCCTTCCCACAACTCCTCCTCCTCTGCCATCGCCTCCTCCCCCAGCTCCTCCTCCAGCTCCTCCTCCTCTGCCACCACCTCTTCCTGCAGCTCTTCCTGGTTTGCAGGGGCGGGAGCAGGCGAGTGGGGGCTGTCGAGGGCAGTTTGCATTGTGCTGGAGCGTGTAGAGCTTCTGGCAGGGGTTGAGTGGGGGGCGGGAGTACCGCGTTGAGTGCTGCTGACGGTGGCCACAGAGCTGCCGTCCTCCTCTGGGACAGCAGGGGAGTGCAGCAACCTGTGAGCCTCCTCACTGCACTGGTCAACAATGATGCTGATGGTGCCATGGATTAGAGGTTCTGTATGTTCCTCGAGGAAGTCCTGCAGCACCTGGACCAAGACATTTGCAACTGGACCACAGATGGACACAGCATGCAGGATGATGCTCTCTGCAATCCTCGCCATCCACCACCTGGTCCCATATATTGCTTCCAGCTCCTGCCGCAGCCAGGGCACCACAGGATCAAGGAGATGCTCGTCTCTTCGGAAAAGTTCTGCCCACACCCTAGGCAGGAGGCCACCCACAGGCTCTGTTCCTGCACCCCCTGGCTCAGCTGCTGGCAATATCCCCCGTGGAGAACGTGAAGGAGATGCTGCAAAGTGATAGGGGTTGTTTCTAACCAGCTGTCCAAGAGTTATTCCTGCCCAGCTGCTGGCATCTTCAGGGGCTGTGAAGACACAGTCTATATAGCTATCTGTCTGCACAGAAAATCTGACAGACTCTATCAGTTCTCTGCAGAGTGGGCACACTATTTGCATCTCTGCCCAACGCATAATGCAGCCCAGGCAGAACTGGTGGAGACAGGGCATTACATAAGCGAGGTCATCTCGAGTATCACGGCAGATGGGGCAGTTCCACTCTGTTTCTGTGGCCTTGTCTGTGCCTTCCTGAAGTTTGGGGTCAGATAAGAATGAGAAGATGCTCCCCATCACTGGTTCTGGTATTACCAAAAGTTGTCACACACTGCAAAATGGAGATGCCATGATCACGAGCTGTCCTGGGGAGCGTAGGAAGAAATGCCCAGGCCCCTCGAGAAGGACACCCTTCCAGTTCTCAAGGCCTTAGCACCTGTCCTAGAGTCACCCCAAGGGTACGTTTCCATGCACAGCTCACTTATCAAGGTGCTTGGTTGCCTGAGCCAAGCAACTCAGGCTTGGCAACTCAGGCCTGAGCCAAGCAACTCAACACTACTAGTGGCTCCAGGATGGGCACTGAGAGCTGCCAATGGCAGCACCCAGCTGTGGGAAAAGCCTGGCTTAACATTCCAGACCTCATGGACATGTTCAACAGGAGTCCAGGCATAAGCCAGAGTAGGCCAGGCTCTGCCAGCACGCTAATTTGAGCAGTAAGGGACACATGGTGACAATCTAATCTGGTGATGTCACAGTCCACTGCCAGTGACATCAGCCTCCACCACCTTGTGACATCACAATAGGATGTCCATGCCTATGGTACTCAGACCAACACAGCATGTCAGAGGTTGCACTCCACAGTATCACGCAGAGAGGTCCCCAGCCCCTGGACTTTCCCCAGCACTGCAAGAGGCCATCACATCAGGGTCATTATAGCAGTGCCTTTTCACGCAGGATGTAGCCAGAACCCTGAAAGAGGTTCTGAAAAAGCACCCCAGTGATGCTTTTAGAGGAGTCACACATGTGGTTTCTAAAATTTGCTCTTTTATAAACTGAACACCAAAAGAAATCCCTCAGCTATTAAACCCCTGGGCCATCACTAATTTTGTGCCCCTTCCAGATATATGATTCTCATTCAGCATTATTTTATTGGGGTTTAATTTTTTTTTTTTTTGCAACAAGTCTTTTTTATTCTACTCTCCTAGGATAGTGTATCTACTTGACATATAATTTCAGTAAATCCCCTAAAATTTGTCAATTTCAGCCTTTATATTAATAGGAAATGAATAGTCTTACTTCATAAAGTTTCTCCAAGATTTAATAGTGGCTGTAGCCAAAGCTATTACTGCCTCAGGACTAAGATGTCCTCATCCAGACCACAGATGCAGAGGTCATGCCATATGCTGCTCTCTGCTGCCTCTACCAGCCACCATCGGTCCCAGTGTATTCCCTCCAGCCTCTGGCACAGCCAAGGCTGAACAGGGTCCAGGAGATGCTGCCGTTGTTGGAAAAGTCCTGCCCAGACCTCCGGCAGGAGGACACCCATGGGCTCTGTCCCCTGTGGAGAAGATGGAGGGGACACCACAGGGTGATAGGACCAGTTCTCACCCAGGCAGAAGAGAGCTCTCCCTGCCTGACTGGTCTCTGGCAACTCTCTGGGGAAGCTGATGGCAAACTGTACATAGGCCCGTTTACCCTGCTGAGAAAACCTGTCAGTCTCTATTGGTCTTCTGCACAGCAGGCATTCTGGGTTTCTCTGCACAAGCTGAAAGCATTCAGTTGTGCTTTGCTTTCTTTGTAACTGAGAGATTGAAAAAAGACCATGGAAATTTCTCCTACCAATAGAAAATACATATAATAGTATTATAAAGACTCTCTGACAGTATTCATGTTTGTTTTCATATATGACTTTATTAAATCTATATTTCAGAATGAATGTTGTCTAGTATGCTTTCAATTCAGTTACAGCAATTGTTTCTCAGCAGGCTAATTTTACTGTAAGACTAGACAAGGAAAGTAATCACTTAGGAAAATGGGTTTTCCACGTACATGTGCAGTACTGTCATGGCCGGTGAGAAGGTCTGGAATGGCTCCATCTTTGTTGAGTGAGCCCATGAGAAACCTGATCTTTCTTTACAAGAAATTCCAGCAAGAACTGAAGTTCATGAGATTTTCCAAAACTCCATTGTGCAGCAAAGAATCAGGAAAGCAGAGCCAGTTCCCTTTGAGAACTTTAGGTCATCAGAGGCTGACAGATGGCTAAACTGAGACGCTGGGACGCTTGACATCTGAAACACCGCTCCAAGGTATTACGTACTTCTGCGACCAACAGCTCCAGGATAGATCCATGCGGTGGATGGATTCCTCAAAATTAAGATCAGGTGTCCAGGGGACTCTGGAGTCTAACTCCAGAGAGATCATGATCAAAAGTCACACTTTGAAACATAGCTCCCACCTGTTTCAAAATAAAAAAACAATCTTCCATAGGTGTGCAGTTCACAGAGGAAGAGAATGAGAGGAAATGTGCATGAACACTCTGAGAGGAGGGAAAAAACATTCAAAAACTATTCATCCTTGCCCATTCTTCCACCTCAGTGGACTCCTTGCTGATCAATAATTAGTGTAATATAACAAAATGATCAGCCACTGTATTAGAGTGGGTATGGGGCACATTGTCACTTGTTACTAATACAGGAATATATTATTATATATTAATATACAAATACTATATTATAATATATTAATTAATTATATTTAATTAATTAATCAAATAAATATCTGTTAAAGTAATTTTATTGTAATAATTTTAATATAATTTCAATATATAATGAAAATTATAAATTTATAATGATATAATTTATGTATACAAATTATATATAATAAAACTTACATCTATTTTGAGAAATAAATATTTGATTTATTTAACTAACTAATTAATTAGAATATTTACTAATTGTATATATTAAAATATTATTAATATATTGTTTGAAGTGGATTCTGTCCGAGCACACAGTATGTGCCATTTCTAATCAGTAATTAAAGTTGCAAGAACTGAGAACTGTATCCAAACCCTGTTTTCTTCATACAGCTTTTTGGTTCTTGGTCCAAACTACCTTTTAACAAGCTAGATTGCATCTGGGACTAAATTTTCAAATGGGCTTGTGTTTCAGTGTATCAAGCTCTCCCAGTTACTGAGAGACTTGGACATTTATACATTTTCTCAGACCCCTAGTGCTGAGATACTCTCCCAGTGGGGACCTCACCAGGCACCTTCTGGAAGCCAGACCTGGGAAACTGAGGCAGCTTCTGGAAGGTGCCATGGACATTGGCCCCAGGTTTCACCACTTCATCTGAAGTGATGACAAGGGTCCCTCAGGTCTGCCGGGCTGAGGCAGGTCCCTGCCCTGGCTTCTTGTTGGGCTGGGGAGGATCCTGAGGATCCTGGGAGCCGGGGGCCTCCTCTTTTGGGTACGCCCAGGGCCCTGTGGCCAAGCTGGCCCTGCCCTGGCCGGGAGTGGGGAGCTGAGGCTGCAGCCCTGGGAAGAAGGACCTGCCACTGCCTCTGCCTGCCCTGGCTCCTCCTGGGGCTGGTCCTGCTCTGCAGGAACAGGTACAGATGGGGGCAAGCTGTGACTCTCATGGAGGGCAGCCTCTGATATACTAAGCTTCTTTCTCCACATTAGAACCTGTGGTGTCACTGGCAGAAATCCCCTCATGGAAGCTGTTGGACCTGGAGCTGGAGCTGCTGGAGCTGGTACCGGCCTCAGGCCTACCTGTTTCCTCTCCATCAGTGTGGGAGTGCAGGAGCCTCTGAGCCTCCTCACTGCACTGGCTCAAAATAACATTGATAAGGTCACGAACCAGTGGTGCTGCACGTCCTCTGAGGTGGTTCTGCAGCCTAAGGATCAAGGTCTCCTCATGTAGACCATAGACACAGAGATCAGACAGGATTCTGCTCTCAGCAACCTGTACTGGCAACCACCAGTTGCAGTAAATTTTCTCAAGCCTCTGGCGTAGCCAGGGCAGCACAGGGTCCAGGAGATGCTGTTGTCGTCGGAAAAGTTCTGCCCAGACCTCGGGCAGAATGCCACCCATGGGCTCTGGCCCTGCAGCCCCCTGCTCAGGTGGGGACACTGTCCCCTGCGGAGAAGATGAAGGGGATGCCACAGGGCATTGGGGGCCACTTTCCCCCACCGTGGGAGTCTCCGGTGACTCTCCAGAAGCTCGTCTTGCCTGGCTGCTGGCCTGTGGTGACTCTCCAGGATGCATGATGACAAACAGAAGAGAGTCCCATCTGCCCTGCTCAGAAAACCTGACAGCATCTATCGGTGTTCTGCAGAGTGGGCATGATGGATTTCTCTGTGCCCACTGCAGGATGCAGCTCAGGCAGAACTGGTGGCGACAGGGCAGAACAGAAGCCCTGCTCCTCCGAGTGTCCTGGCAGATGGGGCAGCTCCAGGCTGTCTCCATGGCCATTTTTGTGCTCTGCAGCATACTGGGGAGAGCCAAGGACCAGGAGATGCTCCCTGTCGTCGGCGTCACACAGAGCATGAGAGAACTGTGTGACTGTGGGACAGCCCTCCTGACTATCCCAGCAAGGGGAAAAAGAAATGCCCAGCTCTCTCAAGAAGGACACCCTCCTGGTTCCCTGAACCTGATCACCTGCCCCACCCAGGGGGGTGTTTTTCCCTATAGAGCTACTGAAGGTAGCCGACCTTCACTGCTACCTACAGTGCCAGGCTGCCTGAGCCAAGCAGGGCTGGGAAAAAATACTGATGGCTCTGCAATGGGCAGAAAGAGCTGCCAAAGGCAGCTCCCAACACACAACCCAGCACTTGAAGAAGTCTGACTAGATGCTCCAAACCTCGCACTCTCGCTCAGCAGGAGTGGAGGCTAGAACCAGATTGGCTCAGGCTCTGCCAGAGCCCAGATATAATCAGAAAGAGATGTGATGTTACAATCCATCCCCCAGTGATGTCACAATCTGCTGCTTAGTTGGTCACCCTCCACCACTGAGTGATGTCACCATGGAATATTCCCCTCTGCAGGTGCACAGTGCCAGAAATAAAAAAAGGGAAATACCATTTCTCGTTTTCAGCTTCTTGATTTCCGTGTTGTTCTCCCTCAGCCATCTGCATTACGTGGCCTTGGTCACCTTGCTAAGGTCTCCTGTGAGCAGGAGCATGGTGGGACCAGTCAGCATGGACTGCCTGTGGCTGGATATTTCCTCCTCTCCTCATTGCTTTTCCCTGTGCAAAGCCAGGATTTGGAACACCTGGGTGGTCGGTGGCCAGCCCTGAGTGAGAGTCTCCCACCCCTGTGCATCTTCTTCCTGCTGCAGGGAGAAGAAGAAAGGGGTGTTTTCGTTAAACCCCATCCACTCCTACTGGCACTTGCCCACAGTGCCAGGTCCTTCTCTGCTTGCCAAGTCTCCGTGCTTTTGGAAGCCAGTGTGTTGATGCTCCTCAAAAGCACCAGCGATGGATCCTGACCCCACATCCACAGAAAGGAGCTGGAGTTGCTGTCCTCCCTGGAGTAGTGTGTAAGGGCCACAGGCACCCTGCTCACAATTCCAGAGAGCCCAGGATCCATGAGAACAAACTGGTTTTGTCTTCTCATCTTCTCACATATCAAGCCTGAATTTCTTTATTGACCTTGAAGGAACCCTAGAAGCTCTCATTCTAAGACAGTTCAGATAAACTGGGCCTGAATGCCTTAACTGTGAAGATGTTCCCAGAAATACAGGAAATACAGGAGCCTTGAGAGCAGGGGGAAGAATCCAGAGCAGCAGCCATTGTCTTTTTGGACTTCCCCCCAATGAAATCTGATTTCCTTTTATGACAAAGTAACCCACCTAGTTTATCAAGGGAAGCCAGTAGATGTAATATTTTTGGTTTTCAGATACTGTCACTTGTAGTGTCCTTCTGGACAAAATGTCCAGCACACAGCTGGATAAACACATGGAGTGCATGAGCAATTGGCTCACAGGTCGATCACAGAGGGTAATAGTGAAGGGGGTGACATCTGGCAACTGGTCACTTGTGGGGTTCTGCAGGGCTCCATCCTTGGCCCAGTGCTCTTCAACATCTTTGTAAATTGCTTGGATGCAGGACTGAAAGGGATGCTAAGCAAGTTTGCACATGACACAGAACTGGGAGGAGTTGTTGACTCCTTTGAAGGCAGGGAGGCCCTGCGGAGAGACCTCCCCCCACCTGGGACAAGACAACCCTGGATGTTTGTACAGACTGGGGAATGAGAGGCTAGAAAGCAGTGCCATGGAAAGGGACCTGGGGGTCCTGGTTGATGGCAAGTTGAATATGAGTCAGCAGTGCCCTGGCAGCCAAGAGAGCTTATGAATACTTGACAGGAAAAGTGGCTTCCCAGCCTTTTAAAGACAAAAACTTTTCTCATCAAGATTTTGCCTTTTCTCTTTGGAGTGGGGAGGGGAATCTTCTCTTTCCTTCTTTCCTTTTTTCTTTTTTTTTGGAGGGGGTTGGGGTTTTTTTGTGTGTTTTGTTTGTTTTTTTTTTTAAATGAAATTTACGTATGAACTTATAGAAAACAAGTGAGAAGGATCCATTTTATCATCAATACTGGGAGCCAACTCCGGAGGGTAGGTGTGTGTGTGTGTGAAATTTCAGAGCTCCTTCTGATGATTCTGAAGAGCAAACCTATGACTAGTCCATATGTGCGTCCCTATCATTTTACTTCTGAGCATTTCTTTCAAAATTCATTCTTTTAAAACTGATACTTAGGCCTAGATTAGGTTCCTTGGGCAGTGGGCTGCAAGGAAGCTTTTCCTCCTGCCACAGGTGTCAGCACTCCTCCTGCCCCACCCTCTCGCCCACTCCCCCTGCAGCATCGTGGAACCTCTGGAACCCATGTGCCAGGACACTGCCCAACTGCCCAACAGCCCAAAACTGCCCAACGGCCCAGAGCTGCCCAACTGCCCAACGGCCACTGAGCCTGGCATCCTGCACTGCCACTGCTCCTACAGCACTTGGTTGGCTGTTTTTGTTTTCCAGTTTGTTTCAGTGTTGACAAAGTCCCTGTCTTCAGTTGAAAGGTCTCAGCATGGACTGTAGGAAGGTACTTGCAATCTTTTAAACAAAGATGAGAGCTTTCCTCTGCAGGTTGGATGTTTACAATAACTGTAAGAGGTGATTAATTGTAAGATTACAATTTTACAATTGCTCAAATGAGAAGAGTTCTTAATCTGTTCTTTCACCTAGAATAAAACTGACAGAAAGAAGGAGGAGGAGTATTCAGTGCTAAATACTCCTTTGTCTGTAACTGTAGTGGAGTCCAGTAGCCAGTCCAGTGTCATCGTCTCTGGGAGTCTTCCACCAAATCAAGAAGAGATACAAAGCATCAGAAGTGAAATGAATGGCACAGTAAAGGCACACAGTATTGTAGCGGGCCTGCAAGATCTCCAGTCTGAGGGAAATAATTGTACAACAGGTTTCAAAGGCAGTGTCAGCTCCAGTAGTAGTAAGCAACCAGAGCTAGAGCACGCTGAAAACGGTAAATTAAAGGGTAAACAGCTGTCTTCAGACTAACCAACTCTCATTTTAGCACTGCTGATGTATCTTCATTCTGTTATGGTCACACTGCTGGGAAGTGAATTTTTGGAGGAAGTAGTAGCCTGTTGTCTACTTCGAATGTGTGGAAATGGCATAGTCATCTAGTAAATAAAATACTGCCAGGAAGTTTCTTGGCCTTCCGTTAGGAACTGTGATGGTTTCAATGAGGAAAAGAACTGTGTAAGAGTGACACTTATACTGGATCTGACAAGAATAGCCCAGAGCAAGCTGTAATACATTGTAGCAAGACAGAAACATTTTGAGTACCCTGCTTACAAGTAGAAGATGCTGTTTCTTGTGTAAAAGTTGATTCTCTGTAAGCTGTTTATTTGGAAGAGAGAAAGAGCCAGTTATTGCATGCTTGGGCAATAATTTCAAACTTGCACCTTCTGAAGTTAATGTTCTAAAAAAATACATAAATACATATAAAAATCCATAGAAGAAAAAAACCAACCTGATATCAAGCTTTGACCCTAGCTGGGTTTCACATTCAGATGTGGTTTTTCAGATCGATCCTGAGACCACTATAGAACAGGAGATAACAAATACAGCCAACAGCTGTGCACATGATGTCAGTGTACTGTTGGCAAGGTTGGATACAAAAGCTTTTGTTTGTGAAAGTGACTTGCTCTTTTGCAGTGCCATCAAAAGTACAGCTACTTTCACTGTGTTGTAGTGCCTAAAAAATTATTAATACTAAGGAAAAAAGCACATGTCTGACTATAATCCTGAGATGACACAAGTGGTTTCTTCATTGCAACAAATTTCAGTTAACAATTAACTGAATTTTCTCAAAATGCTCTTAAGGTGTGTTATCTTCGTCATTCTGTTGGAATCATTCTTTTGAAAGAATGCAACAAAATGCACTTCCTTAAACAAAGGCAAGAGTTTAAAAGAGGTCAATAGGTAGCCCTCAATAAATATATCTCTATTGCTTTGTTAATTATAGATGTATAGACTTGGAGAAAAACACTCAGAACTGCAAGCAATTTTTTATTATTTCTGTTTCTTTCTACTTTTTGTGGGGGTTTTGTGGGGTTTTTTTGCCCATCATTATAGTGTTTAGAGACCAAAAAATCCTTCAAGATGCTCAGGAAAGAGACAGCTCCTCAAAAAAGCAGAAAACAAGCCTCAAAACATCTGTGAACAACCAAAAGAAGAGTAAAAGTAGTAAGTACAGCAGCTCAGTGTGAAATGAAATGTGTGAAAGTACCGTGCCATTTGTTTGAATAGTAAAAAAAGTGAATCAGAGGACATAGTAATCAGTTGTTCAAAGCCTTTTTGAAAAGGTATAGCCCCATAAGCAAGAAGATGTGGATAAATTTGGCACCCACAAGGACACATTGCACTGCGTCTTTGCTTTTTCTGATGCAGGCAATTTATTTATAGCAGTGGTTCTCAGGCAGTAAGTGTGCTGCTGCCATGATCCATTTGGAGAGTAGAGTGCACTGTGTCTATATGAACCTTGAGCAGTTGGATTGTATTCAAGAGTCTCCTTCCAAGAAGCGTGTCCTTACCCCATGTCCTTATGCTCTTGCACACATGCTTTCAGCAATATACAGTTTTCAGGATGGATTGTGGAGGCACAGTCAGGTACTTTTATCCACCCTCTAGCTCTGTAGGATTTTGGTTCCCATAGATCCACAGAACAGCTCTGAGTCTACCTGCACAGCAACTAACCGGGCAGTACTTCCAGTGAAAGGTTTCCCTTTCCCAGCATTCCAGAATTAGAGGGGCCCCATCACAGACCTGGTTTGTGGTGCTGTACTTGGGCACCAGTGGTGCAGAGAGCTGTGTGCCAAGCTGCTAGACCAGGATGGATTCTGTCATTTTAGAGTGAGACAGCTCCTGGTAAGCTTTGGGTTGGGTGGGAAAGTTGCTTTGTTTTTGTAACGATCTATCTTCCCACAGGCAAATGCGGACAAAATAGAGAGAGGGAGTCTGATCTTAAAGAACAGGATAATTGTTTGCCCAAAGTTTGCAAATGGAGTTTTCAAGTGTGTAAGTATCATTTTCAAAACATGGCTAGTGTGGCCTTGTGACATAACATAACAAGGCTTTTTGAATTTTCTTGTTTGGGTTTTTTTTCCCTCTAAAATTATTCCATCCTCAGTTTGCTTAGTTCTGTGATAAATCCTGCGAGTTTTTCTTGCTGCTTTTCTCCTCATTCTCTAGTTCTTGTTCAGACTCTCAGATGATTGATTTGTAACTTTTTCCCTTTCCATTTTGCCTTAGTGAACCTGGACATGTTTCCTCCTTCTCGTAAGAAGAAGTTTCAGTGTGTTTGTGTCAGTCAGCTACGAGTACACAAGCTTGTGATAAAATATCAGCTCTTGCTGTGTTTCTCAGCTTTGCTGCCTGCTACCTGAAAGCAGATCACTAGGATTTGAGTACTTCCCATTTCATCAAAATTCAGAAGGTTTGAGAAATGCTGCAATGCAATAATTAACAGAGATTGTTTAACTTTCAGATGACTTGGAAAATTTGACCAGTGACGAGCGCATAGCACTTCTCCAAGCAAAAATGCAAGAAATCCGGAAACGTTACCTGTTGTTGAAAGCTGAGGTGGCTGCCATCGACCGGAGAAAGCGCTTAAAGAAGCAGCAGGAAAGTAAGTACTGAGAACTAAAATCTACTTTTAGAGGGCTAAATTGCATGTCATGTTATTAAGGTGTTAACAAGGGTTGGATAATCTTTTGGGAGATGACTGTATTTATGTTTGGTTTTTTTCTGAAAACACTGTATACAGTCATTTTATGACCTTTAGAAGGTCTGGGTCAGATACACAGTGATAATGTAAGGGGAAAAACATTTACAAGCAGTCAATCTAGTTAGTTCTGTTCAGGCAGAGCTACTTTATATAGGAAACAATATACAGGAAATAAACTTTTCTAAGCAGTGAACAAAGTAACTAACATTATTGATAACTTCTAAATTTTCTTCAAGTTACAGATAAGTTTACTGTAGTATTGCCTGTGTGCCTAGTTAGTGCTTTCCCCCTAGGATAAGGGATTTATTTCGTGAGTTTAAGGGAGACAATCAATTAAATGTCTCATTTCTCTGAAGCTGCCACACCTATTACTGTAGGGAATGTTCTAGTGTGCCTACTGCTAGGACTGTTAAAAGGATAATTTTCTCCATGTCTTGTTCACATGTGCATTTAAGAGTTCATTGAGAACAGGAAGAAAGATTGAAATGCCATGTGTAGTAAGATTTTATGGCTGCAACCATCACCCAGGAACTGCAGGTGCTGCTTGCTTGCCAGAGCACTGTGTATGTGCAGATTCAATGCTGGGACAAGGCCCCACCTGTGCCGACTCCCCGAGGAAAGAAAAAGAACAGCTGACATGCTGGTGGGCCAGGAATAAGCTCTGTTGTCATCTGGCTGGGCCCTTGATCTGCATGGCTGATAAACCAGGGCTGCAAGGGCCATCAACACCAAAATTATGGAAACAAGACTTTTTGCTTTTCCATCACTAGGCATTAGATACTGGAGTCAGTATATATGTCCTGGTTCTGGCCAGGACAGCATTAATTTTTGCAGTAGCCAGGAGGGGGCATGGCCAGGTTATTCTATACCACCTCATGTCATTGCTGGGGGAGGGAAAGGGATTCTCTTCCAGGGAGAAGGGGTTCAGTCCACTTGAGAAAATGCAGCAAAGGGAGCTGTCTACTATTGCCTATTATTGTTTTTTTTCCCATGTGAGTAGTTTATTTTCTTATACCCTCTGTCACTAGTATTGTTGCTATTACCATTTGTTTTCTTATCTTATTGCTGTTTCCAGTAAATTTTTCTTATCTCAACCTGTGATCTTTGACTTTTTTGCCTCCAATTCTCCTCTCCAATCTGCTGCAGCAGGGAGAAGGAGGGGGAGCAAGAGAGAGCGTTCCATGGTTTGGGAGAATCTTGGTGGGGGCACTGAAACGGGGAGTACCTTTCCTACACCACAAAAATATACCAATGCTTGTTGAATAGGAAAAGATTCTAATTGCTTATTTATAAATGCTTATAACCTGTGTTTTCTTCTTCCTTTGCAGGGGCTGCTGCCATGTCAAGTTCCTCACCAGATGGAATGTCAGGGGAATGCAGGTGACAGCAGGACTTGACAAAGCACTTCACACTTAATGGCTGCTGAGGGCCACTTTTTTTAATCAGTCCTGAAAACCAAATATTCATTAAAAAAATCAAGAAAACAAACAAACAAACAAACAAATACTAATGTTTATGAGTTTGAATTAGATTTAAAAAGGATACTCTGGGTTTTAAGAATCCATTAATTGGAATAAAAGTACAATACTTTGCCATTTTTCAATAAAAAGTGGTCTTTCTAATTTTTATAAATTACATGACTAAAAAAAGAAAGAAAATGGCTAACAAACTATTAAGTTTTAATATATGAGGATTGCATTCAGCCTGTTTAAAATGTGTATTTCTTCATAATGGATTAAACAGGTATATTTTTGTGTTTTCTTGTAACTGTTTCTCTTCCTGTTAAAGCAACAAATACTTCATTTGTAATGCTTATTTTATGATGAGTTTCAAGGAGAAGGCTTCAAGAGAGAGGTGTGAGCTCATAAAAGCTTATAGAAAAAAGCTCTAAAATATATATTAAGTTCTGCAGAAAATGGAGTTATGCAACATATTGTACAAATGTAAGCCAAGGCCTCTAAAACAAAATTCTATAGTTTGTGAATCCCTGATTTTAAGTTTGATTAAGCAACAGTAGTATCCTCATGAAAATGACATCAAGCTGCAGAATTGGTTGGTAAGTGATTAATTCAAACCCATTCTCTCTTTCAGCAAGAAGTAAAAATGTAGCCCATCGTTAACATAGCACCAGTCAAAACAAAGCTGAATTTTGATTCTTTTTCATTATGGTAGTTTGAAAATTTCAAAGCAAGCTCCTGAATATATTCGCTGACTCCCTACATCAACTGCCTCAAGTTCAGATCCAGTGCAACTGAAACTGGAATAAAACTTGTGTTCTCTGGCTACATCGTGTCTGACTGTAGTTGTTAACCAAAATACTGTTATACCTGAAAAATGACACATTACTGATGAGACTGGTAAATCACAAAGGATGATAAGCTTTGGAAGTGCTGACTATGTTAAGAATTACCAGTGATCCAGGGCTGCTGGGAGCTGTTTTAATAATTTCAGTGAGGTTACAGGAAAAAGAGAGGTTATTTACACCCAGACTGAACAGCAAGTAAACTGAAATAGTAGGCAGAAAGGAACCTTCTGCCTACTAAGACAGATAGCCAGGTAGTAGAACTAAAGACTACTGCAGTCAGTGCCATCCTAAAGAAAAACAGAAAACAAAACAAACGAAAACCAGAAAAAAACCAGTACCATGTGTGTCACAACCATTAAGTTGTTTTAACTTGATGACTACCCTGCTCTAAACTTAAAGCATCATTAACTTTTCTATCTTTTTAAAGCCTAAGGTTCTTCTTTCAAATTACCTACTTTTAGTTGCACCCTCAATAGCATTCTGGAGAACACCAGTGTCACAACTTCTACAGGACAGTGCAGTTTGAATAAGCACTTGATTTCTAAGGGAGGAAGAACAAAAAGCACCAGCACTCACTTTGAATTGACAAGCTTACTACCGCACTTCCAAAGCAAAAGGCTACAGGAATAATGAATGCCAACCAAACCAGTCGAGATCTGCACACACTGGAACATACACAGAATCTTATTCAACAGAATCCCAACACCATAGTGCTGCACTGGCTAGAAATCTTTCCGGTGTTCTAATGAGAAAAATTCAACTTGTTTCTAGGAAATAAAGTGTTTGAGGCAATCACTAGCAGATGATGTTTCAACCAAATATAAGTTTAAAAAAATACATTTTTTTAATATATGTATTTAAAAAAGGCTGGAGAATGAAATGGCAATAGAAAAGAAAAAACTGTTCAGGGAGCAAACGGTAGAGATTGTCACCACACAATCTAAACATTGCAATTGCAGATCATTTATTCAGAACATGTGAGCCAGAAGTCGCACACTCCCTGGGATAGGGGAGGGACTCCCTCTCCCCTTTAATAGGCTACAGCAAGAAGTTCTCACTGCTTTGTGAGCTGAAGCCCAGTTAGCAGAAGGCAGTGTTTCTGTCAGCTGAAGCAAGGCAGAAAGATCTACAGCAGCTTCCTTGCCGTCTCTTGCTCATGAGCCCCCTTCTTCAACTCTTCTTCCTTCTGGTGATGGGAAGGTAAAGTACATCCTGTGTGTAAGCCCACACTGTGCCCCTCCTTGTGTACAGTAAGACCTGTGACTACTCTCCAAAGACATTTACACATGGAAGCCAGTTGAGAGGTGTACTATGGAAGCATAAGCTGCAGTGGCAGCATGGCATTGTGACAAAACAGCAGTTCCTCACTTTACAGAAATTGTCCTAAAACAGTAGCTCACAGTATCTGTCAAGTTTTTACCTCACAGGAGAACAGATGCAGCCAAAAAAACCCATTTACTTTAAAATGAGTGCTCTGAACTATGCAAGCAGGCACAGGCAGCTCCCAATTTGAGTATACAGAGCATCACTGAGTGGTGAAAGCACAGTCACCACTGACATCAATGAGAAGTTTCAGCACCAGCCTTTGGGTTTTTTACCCCTTGAACATGAATTAGGTCTGGTCTGTCTGTTCTCACTTGCCAACTGCCATTACAGGGCCTTTACTATAGGGAAATATATCCACCAAGTAAAAGAAGTCCAAGAGAGCTGAACCTCAAAGCCAGCTGGTGAGCATCAAACGGATGCACTGTTTGAAGGGCTTTCAGAATTCTACAGCAGCTGCCACATAGTTTCCAGTGACACAGCCCAAAGCAGCCTTTTAACAAAACATCCAGCTCAGTGTCTGCCTGTGTGCCAAAGAACAGCAACTCCTGGCTCATGACTTGTGTATTATATAGACTTGGGCCAAAAACAAATGCGACAGATGTAAAAAAACTGAAGACTGATGGCAACTGAAATCTAACAGTAATTTTTCTATTCCATCAACTAGTTATAAAATTATCCAACTTGTGCACTTACATAAGAGAACGCAGTAACTAACAAAAAGAAAGCCTTTTATTCAAAAGAGGTTCACGTATGTTTACAAGAAAGTCATGATTTCAACTTACAAAGTCAACATTGCCATCAGCACCTTTCCTGAAGAGAAAATCCTTGTCTATTGTAAAATGTTAAGTGTATAAACACAGGAAACAGACAATCCACATCAAAACACACCTCTATCCCAAAATCTCTATTTAGATTTTACACATACATATATAAAATATATATGAATAACATGTCTTCACAGATGACAACTGCATCACTTTATACTTCAGGTCCTTCTCCTCCAGGAACCAGCTATAAAAGAATAGGACATTTTTGTATTACTGCCATAGAGTTGAGATCTACAAACCCATACATGACAGCTCTTGCTTTACAACAAGCATTTTAGTAGATGGAGACTTCATGGCAGACCATAAAAGTGTTTTTTAGACTCAGTATTACCTTCCTCTCACAACAGAGGAAGTCAGTTATGGCAAGAGACACACATACCAAAAAGGTAGCAGGGAGTAAGTCAGCAGAGCATTTTCTTGTAAAAGAAGCAAAGAACTGAACAGAAGAAGAAATATAAGAGGAAAAACACGGGAAAAAAACACATAACCATTCCTTATCTTCGTCATAAGCAGCTGAGCATTTCTAAAGAGAAAGAGCTTCACTGTTTTTGGGACCAAAATAAGAAAGATTCCAAAGCACAGACTTTCTGATATGGGAAGATGTGGCCCCAAAAGAGACCCAAGATCTAATGTAGAAATGTATCTATATCTTGCTGAAAATTTGCACTCTAAGAATCACCAGGTTCTGCTTCACAGGCAGTACACCCCCAGCTTAAATGGATGGTAGGAATTTCATCCCATACGAGGAGTCAGAACATGTGCTGTCCTGTAAGGATGCAGAACAAAAACCAAAGCAGAAAAAGGCTTCGAAATTAAGTAAAAAATGGCATTTGCTCAGACACAAAGTGCAGAGGTGCAACAAAGGTAAAACAATAAAACTAAAACAATAAAATGTAAATAATTTCTCACTCATACAAAACCAACTTAGACTCAAGTTAGCCTTCCTCTCCCTACAAAATTAGGAATACACTCGTGTCCGAAGTCTGGGCTTTGTGGCCATCTATGCAGACAAGCAAAAGAGCCACTCGGGTCTGCTTGTGTGCATCTAAGAAGCTGCAGAATTCAACTTAGGGATGCATAATCACAACATTTAATTGCTGTTTCAGTACTAATCTACACACATCAGCACATGACAAACTAAAAATCCTAGTGCTTTTGATTTGGTATAATCCAACACACCTCCAGATTTTTTAACAGAGAATATAAAGGTGTAGCTCTCAGGGCACCACATGGTATCATGATCACCAAATGACTCAATGAGCTTGTCAGCATCCAAACTGCTACAAACACACATGTACACGCAGGAACGTCTGACCCACGTGCACAGGCAAACACTCCAGAGCTAAAAGCCCCTGGAAAAGCTGGTCTATAACTACTTAAAAGGAGGCTGTAGCCAGGTGGAGGTCAGCCTCTTCTCCTAGGCAACTAGTGACAGGATAAGCTGCATCAGGGGAGGCTCGGGATGGATATCAGGAAGAATTTCTTCATTGGAAAGGTTGTCTGGCATTGGAATGTACTGCCCAGGGAAGTGGTGGAGACACTATCCCTGCAAGTGTGCAAGAAACAACCGGACGTGACACTTTAGTGGGCATGGTGGTGTTCGGTCAAAGGTTGGAGTCTACAATCTTGGAGATCTTTTCCAACCTTAAGAATTCCATAGTTCTAATAAAATCAGCGACTCTTTGCATGAAGACCAGAAAAACATTCACAAAAACAAAACTAGAGCCATGGTCTTTGCATTATTCTTTTGTAAACCACAGCATGTAACAAGTAAGGCAGTAAGGTCAGTTTTCCAACATAATTCATAAACAAAGATGCCCCAGAAGGCACTTGAAAATTCCTGATGCAATGGAACTGTCTGGAAAGCTCAGCTTAGAGTAGTGAAACTCAATTGCTGATTTACAGGTACAGAAAATCAACACATGAGCAATGATCACTTACCATTGTTATGTTATTTCCATTTAGCAGAATCTGGTCTAGCTTGGTGATTCTTCTGCCCTCAGGTGTAATCTCACTGAAGGAGGATTAGAAACAGCAAGTGAGAACAATGAACCAGGGACAACAGCTCCAGTTTTGACCACAGAACTGACAGAAATCTCTGTGTTAGTTTCTTGCTGGAACTAACAAATAAATCAGCCACACTGCAGAGTGATCTTAACAAATGGACCACCTGGGTAAAGAAAGCTACCTGCCATCTAAAACCGATCTCTTCTACTCAGTACATGAAGATGTGTGTTCATCTCTAAAGCTTGGCAATTTCTTGAATACCACATATCAACATGGCATAACAAAGTAATAAACACTTATCCTTTAGTTGTCTACCTTTTTAAATCTCTGCCTAGGCCTTAAGGAGACGGAAATGGAAAGTTCAACACAATCAAAATTAAGATCACAAATCAGGAACCCCATTACAACTATAAATCATGCAATAGCTACTCTATGACATGGCTGTCCTGAACAGATCACCCTACTTTAGTTTCAGTCCAAGGAAAAACTGGTTAGCTGGCAAGTATTCCAAAAATATAACATTTCGCTTACAGATCTTACATTGTATTTTGCCTCAGCAAACCAAACATTAAATAGCAAAAAGAGGAATACTTACAATTCTGTAACATCTTCCAACACCATATCTGAAAATCCAGTTTCAAGGAAAACAAGGCCCAAAGTTTTATATCAAAAACATTTAATGCTATTTTCAGTTTATACCATACTGTGATTTTACCTGAAAGTTGAAAATATCAGAATAATACAACTGATCCATATAAAAAGGTTCTACCCAGTGAACTCAAAACTCTCACAAGCAACAAACGAATTGAGCCAAAGGATTGAAGTCGGCAGCCTTGAACTCCCATCGAAGGATACTGACGAAGTCATCGAATCCCAGAAGCGTCCCGACAATTTCTTTGTCGCTCTTCATCACGATGTGAATGCGTGACCCTATGCACTTGTCCACAAGCTCTGTAAGCACACGGGGAAATGTATGTTGTACAAAGCACCCTCTTGCGCCTTACAACTTGTTTGTGGTTATTTACAGATACACGGACACGGACACATCCCCCTACACATCAGCCCCCCCACACACCCTCACACCCACGCCCACCCCCCCACCCCCTTCAGCCCCACACTCACAGACGCCCAACACAGCCCCCAACGCCCCCACTCCCTCTCTACTCCGCCCGCCTTCCCAAACCCTCCAAAATGCCGCCGGGGCGCGCGCGGGACACGCCGCCCGACGTGGGGCGCGCTCCCGCCCTCCCGCTTCCCGCCAGGCGGCAGCGCGCCTCAGGACACGCAGAGGGCCCCGCAGCCTCCCGTCCCCGCCCGCATAGGGACCCCAGCCCCGGGCGGGACCCGCCGGGCCCCCCGGTACCGAGCGGCAGGAGCTGGGACGGGTTAGACACCGCGCCCGCCGCCATGTCGGAGCCAGGCCTGACCAATCGCTGCCACCGCCCGCACACGTGACAGGCTACCCACCAGCTCGGCAGCCCCGGCGAGCGGATGGCAGAGCGGTCGCTCCGCACCTCGCTCCGCACCTCGCTCCGCACCCCGCTCCGCCCCGCCCGCCGCTGGCCGGTCGCGACACCTGCGTGTCCCGACACTCGCTCTGTGCCGTGCCTCCGTGTAGAGACTTGGAGGAAAACCGCCTTTTCCCCCCTTCTTTCTCCTCCTGCCGGCCCCGCCGGTGCCGGGGTGTCCCCAGGGAGCCATCGGGACCGCGGGCTGTGCAGAACGCGGGGAGCGTTTTGTGCGCTGTGTGTCACAGCTATTACAGAATCGCGGGATCAGTCAGGTTGGAAGAGACCTCTGGGATCATCGAGTCCAACCTGTGACCGAACATCGCCATGTCAACCACCAAGTGCCACATCCAGTCTTTCCTCAAACACTTCCAGGGATGGTGACTCCACCACCTCCCTGGGCAGCCCATTCCTATGTCACATCACCCCTTCTGTGAAGAAATTCCTACTAATGTCCCACCTAAATCTCCCCTGGTGCAGCTTGAGTCTGTCTCCTCTCAGACACAGCTGCAGAGTCATGCTGAGTTTGTAACACTGACTGGTTTTGTGGGAGGCAGAGCATTTCACAGGTTACAGCACCTCCTGGTTGTTACCTTTCTCTACTCTTCACATTCCCTTCCTATGGCAGCCGACTGTTCTTCCAGCTTGTACCTTTGACACATATTCCTTTGACACTTGTTCCTTCCAAGTTCCCTCGGGGAATTTTGCATTGAATTCCTAACACCGGAGTGCCAATATGCATTAGAAAGAGTTGATTCTGGTGTGAATCAACAGCTGCTCCTTGAAGATTGCGCTGTGAACCTGTGCTGGGAGTAACAGTGAGCAAAGGCCACCATATCGCAGGAGAGAGAGCACCTCTTGGTCATAGGGAGCAAGCTGGGCACGCCTCAAGCCTCCCAAACTCAGCATATAGGCTCCTTTCTCCACTTTGTTCTCTCCTTTCCTTCCTTCCCTTTCTTCCTTCCTCAGTCTTCTTCCTTTCCCCCCTCTCTTCTGCCTCTCTTACCACCTTTTTCTGTCCCTGTTCAGATAATTCTTTAACATCCAGTGGTATTTTGTTTTTCGAACACCAGAGCAAAAAACAGTGCTGTGTCAAAAAAGCTGGTCTCGTACCAATACGTTAACGTTCCCAAACCCATCTTCTTCATGTTTGATTTCTTCCAGAAAGAAAATGCTGCTTCTCAGTTCTTCATATTCTGCACATCAAATATATCAATATACTTTCTTTTTGGCAATTTATAAAGAATATTCATTTAACAGCAAGCAAGTCTGAACAAATCTGCTGTCCTTGGTGCCAGGAAAATCCCCGGACACAAATTCCAGAAAGAATGTCCAAGTCACAGATAGGAACCGATTTTATCCCTAACAAAAAGGTTACTGCTTAAATCAGGAATACACTCATCAAGTGGAGACCTCTCAGATATGCAGCTGATAACTAATCATGCCCGGTCTGGCAGGAGGCATCCTTCTTCTAGGAACACACCAACAAAATATATTCAGCTACGAAATGTGTGCCTGAACAATGCAGGGTGTTGAAGGCATGCATCCTGCTGTATTGCCTTTCATGTGCTGCATTCCAAGCTGAACAGCATCCCACAGTGACAGAATCAGATCACAGAAGGAAGTTCTTTAGGAAGTTCTGTTCAGTGGCTTCTACTGACAACCATCAGCACTGAAATTAAGGAATGTGGTGTTCCTGTCAAGGTCGGTTTCTGCACTCTGGTAAAACCACAGTGCAGATGGCTCATCAGCAGAGGACTCTCTATCCTGAAAACAGGAGGCTGGCAACAATGCTGCAGCATACTCTGTGTTGCTCCCTTTCCTGTTAGTTCACCAGCAAAAGAGCCTGTAGCAATAAGAAACATAAAACATTGACACAAGGCAGTTCACTTGCTTAAAATCAAGTGTTGCATATGAGTGATGCTGCCTAGACCACTTGTACATGTCCTGGTTCTTGTAAGTAAGTGGGAGAGAAGGCACGAGTCAAATTGATCTGCTTAGGAGTGTTGCAAAGTAAAACCACTTTATGCTTACATAAGATCTTGCCCTGTGGTGTGTAGCATGGACTTTTTAATACAAATAATGAACCTTTCAAGCACTGCTACTGTCGGGTAACCAGAGTGTTTCCTAAGCTGAGTCACCACTTTCCTTCATCTCACAACACTTACTCAGTCAAAATCAGTAGTGCCCTCAGTATGCACACAGCATAACCTTGCTTTTCTGGAGCTCGATTCTGGAAGTCAAGGGGAGGAATGTGAGAGAAAGACTTTACAACCATCTTATTTAGGGCCCATTTGAGAGAAAGACTTTACAACCATCTTATTTAGGACCCATGTTAAACTCTTGGTTTCATCTCACCCCTGGAGAATGGCTCCTCCACTGAGCTATTCAGAAAAAGGACTTTGATTATTTTTTTTTTTAATAACAAGAAATCAGGTGATGTTGGAAGATTTCAATCACTTCAGAAAACATCTCCATGGTCTCACTGTCAAGCAGGATTAGCACTCATCAGCTGCAAATGCAGAGTGCCTACTTCAGTGGCTGAGGGAAATAATTCAATTAATGAGGATTGCTAAGACTTAGTTTAAAATAATCATTGACATTAGATGATGCTTCCCTTACTGGTGTATGGGATTTAGTATGAGCATTCCTGTGGTGAGCCCAGTTAGGCAGGAACGAAAGGGCACAAATTGTTTATACAGCAAGAATAAGGATTAGGAGACACACTTTGATAACACTTGACAGTCAATCCACACAAAATCCTCTGAAGTCAGTAGCAATGACTCCAGAATAGCATTAGACAGTGTAAAACTGAGTTCTTGTTAATATGCAGTAAGATGGCTTTCCCTTAGAGATGCAGAGTATCAGCTGTGAAAACTTGGGAAACTAGATCCATCTCAGTCATGAACTTCACTCACAGATGGAGCACCGAACCTCTCCTAGAGTAAGCTGGTGCAGTATGCCAGTTCTCTGCACACAAATATGTTACAACCTGCTGAACTCCAGGGTCAGGCTTTAAAAATTGCTTTTGGTAACTGCTGCTGTTGCAGAAGTCATGCAAAACCCAGGTTGTGGTGTCCCTGCTGCAGCTGTGCCCTTGCACAGCCTGGTGGCCCAGGAAATTGTTTAGATTTGCGGCTGTCCAGAGTACATTTCTACTTCCTCCTTGATAAAAGCTTTCATCATCATCCTGTGTGTCAGCTGATCCACTGACTCATCTTTTCACTTTGTCTACTTTTCTTTTTTGTAGGATTATTAGTTTTCAGTAGGCAAAGAACTTCAGACTACAACTTATCTTAAGCTACTTTAAAATCCTGTGTGCTGTGCACCCAAAAAAACGCCCCAGACAACTACTTGACCATAATAACACATAACTGAAAGAGAACTTACCCATATTCCTAGAAAAAAGCTTTTTTTAATCAAAGTATTGTATAAGTAGTCTTGAAATTTTTTGGTTGTACCGCAACTGACATAGGAGAAACATAAACAGAAAGAAAAGAGTCATTTTGGAAGGTGCCCACACAACGCAGTGATGCCTACCGTATCTGTTTTTAAAAACTTAACTAAGCAACACAATATAAAGTACCTCCAGTCACACATTTAGTTACTACATATTTGAAATTTATATCCCATCATTGGGTAACACTAATTGCATGCACCTTTCTAGCTCACCCCATAACTTTGTATCCACAGAATTGTGAAAAGATGCAGCAGGTCCCAAATAATTCCTGGCATCTGTAGGGAGATACTGTGAATTCTACTCCAACAGGAACATATTTATTAATATTGCTGCCTGCATTACTAATGTGGCGAGCAAAGAGCCAGGAACCACAATACCTTGCTAAGCACAGCTGATTATGAACAACAATGAACCTGTACACTTCGTGAAGTTCAGCAATAGAAGTGATGATCAAATCTCAGGTGGTAGATTAACTGTAGTAAGTTAAAATACAAGTTGACTACTCAAATAATGATTCAAAGCTTTTTTGACGAATAATGTTCCCCAATCCCATATGCAAACAAAACAATCAGACCACATTCATATATTAATTTTTATTTACCCATACAACATTCACAGGGTCTGCTTTTTCTCTTATTCAAACTAAACTTTTTTTCCCCACCCCCAAACTAAAGAACTGACATTTCAGGACATGAAAAAAAGTTTTGTAAACAGAAAACATCCAACGCATAGCCGAAACCCAGAGGCTTTAGCAATTAAAAACACAGTTATATCCCCTTTAATGCAAGGTGTTTACTTGAGTATCACACCATTAACGAAAGTGTTCATATATTAAAAAGGTGCAGCTTTAACCAAAAGTCACAATGCACTTCCTCACCCACTGCGTGTTAGCATGTGTGTTTTATTATATCCTATTCAGTCAGTTATTTTAAAAACTATATACAGCTATGTTTAAACGTGTATTTGTGCCATGTTTTTAACAACACAAAAATAAAGGCATTTTTAAGCTATTGCTGCATAACATGCAGCAGGATACCAGAGCACTGGTTCAGACACCTAACTTCAATGCAAAAGTCAAGTCCACTAAACCTCTGCAGTGAGAGTAATATTGAGCTGAACAGTCCCACTTCACACGTTCAAACATTGTGAAAGAATAAAAAGACATGTACGCGATAGCTGACCATCATCAGTTCTATACCATTGTTTACCAATTTTGCCAGCACACAGAACAACTCAGTGGAAAAAAAAACCCCAATACATTTCAAGCTTTAATACAAATGCTTTTGTTGTGGTTAAAGCTACATAACTAATATTCAAACTCCAGAAGATAATAGTGAACACCATCAAAACTAAATCATGTTTTCATTTGACACTTGCACCCAGTGTACCACTTGCTTCATTATTGTGTGCAATGCAGAACAAGAAGTACTAAACATCAGCTGCTGAAACACAAGAATAAAGCATATAGGTACAATCAAGAATGTTGTGTGCAGGCACAGACTTGTATCACAAGACAAGAGCAGACTCTTGTTTTCTCATGTTAGTGAGTCTATTTCTGGGAAACCTGAATCCCAAAATGGGACTGCAGTATTTAAAATTCAGTACAGGAGAGCAAAACTTTACGTGTAATCCTGAATTTTACATACATTAAACTTCTGAATACCTCTTGAGCTGTTTGAGGTTTTCCTTCTGTTTCTAAAAGAGCAGTCATTCAGTTCATAACAGAGTAGGGGCATTTTTATTTTCTTCAGCCATGACAAGATTTTAAAATCAAGTCATCTTAGATCATTTTTCAGACTGTTCAAGTGTCACCTGAACACGTAATTTCAAATTTCTGTTAGCAATAATACAGGCAACTAATAAGGGTTTAGGACCCTTTCTCTGCTTGCCGAGAACTTGTTCAAGAAGCGTCTTTTGATTTAGCTAGTAATGCATGACAGATTTTTTACTTTAGTTTAGTTTGTGTGCATTTAAGAATTGATTGGTCTACTTATTCCTCCAGAACCATTTGAAGGAGTTTAGCCTTACTATGACCAGCTCAATTTAAACTATGGTTACAAACATACATTTACTACCTTCCACGACCAAATAAAACAGGACTTTACAGTACCTAAGCTACTGAAGACATGAGCAATGGAAACAATGTTACTCTAACTCTACAAAAAAAATCACCTGAAATGTTTAGAATATTTCCTGACCATTAGCAAAAAGGAGTGGCAATTAGACACGTGAGACCATCATGTCTCTGTACAACACACAGAGGAAAATTTACAGCACTTGCGCTATGCAGAATCAACATCAAATTGCCCTCTTAACAGGAAAAAAATTTAGTAAAAAGCTTTTTATGTGCCTAACAGAATACAGCCTTGTCCAGTGCTCATGCTGTGCTGCTTAACAGACCAAGCTACTTCTGGTCTTTAATCTGAAAAGCAGCAGCCGTATATTTGAGTACAGAAACTGTACAGTTTCAGTGACAAAGTTACAATACTCCTTATTCTATTGCATGTTGTTTAAATAAACTTGGAAATTTGGATTTTTTTGTATACAGAAGTGGATTTCCTGAGTAGTCTCAGCTTAAAATTTCTTCAGTAAAACATTGTAAAAGAGAAAATGCATTTATTTGATTACAGAAGAATGTATGTTTAAGCAATCATAATCAAGTATAAAACGGAGCAAATTCTGAAGATGGAGACTTTTCAGGCTGATGAAGAATTTGCATCACAATGCAGTGCCAATCTTTTGACAATTTTACAAAAAAAGCAAGGGGTACCACTGCATTATTTTTTTAACAGCAAATCAAAACAGTGCACTACAGTTCATCATATTTTCTTCTTTAAAATGCAAGACATTCAGCCTGAAAATTAAAATCAAATCAAATTTTCACATGTATCATCTCTCAGACACTAGACTGTTGGGTTACTTATAAATGTTATACTGCTGATGGTTAATCTTACTGGTAAAAATCAAACTTGGTCTGGATTAATATCAGTAGAAATAAAGAGAAGCTGAACATTGCCAGACATTTTAGTATAGGAATCAAAAAACACTGAAGTTCCAAAGTATCTTTAAAAATATTTCAAATCATGTGCCCCTTTCATAACTTTTTGGGTCTGTTTGTGATTTTTAAGAGATGAGGGGTATACACATTTGAATGTTGCATATGTTCAGATCCTTTGCACTTACAATTAACTGGAGAACCATTAACCTTTAGAGATGAGTAACACACGATGAACCACTACTGGTTACGATCCAACACGGGTTGTTGTGGTTCTTTTATCTGAGAAGAAGCTTTTAAGGAGAAATACCTGCCCAATACTAACAACAAGAAGAATGATTGCTTCCCCTATTGACCAGTAGGCCACTCTTGTGTTCAAATCCTCTGCTCTGCTGCGGCCCTGCGCTTCCCTCAGGCGGAAATGAGTCTGATAGTCGATGACAGACTTCAAAGCTTCATGAATTGAAACACACGCAGACTCCATCTGGAGAAACAAATACACACCACGGAATTAAGAACCCTGGCAGTGGTTTTGTGCTTTGATACTTAAAATTAGGAGTCATGTAACTTTGCAAGCTAAGGATTAACTCAGTCCAATGTCAGACCGAATAGTGCAAATACAGTAAAATTTAACTTATGTTGATCAAACTTTACACACAAGAATGTGACACTGCTAAGTACAGAAGCAGGTAAAATTGCAGTCTAATAAAAAGCAACAGCGTCTGAGAATGGTTAAACAAATTTTAAATTCATATGTATTTGGGTTCAAAATGAACATAAGAAACATTTTGGAAATGTCAGTGATCCCCCAGCTATTAATTCCACAGGAAAAGAAGCAGTTGCTTATAGCATTAAGATGCACACAGTAAACATTGAATGCTTCTGTTTCACAAGTACGACATTCTTCATTGCTTAATTCTCACTCAAGTTGTACAATGTCTGTTCTGTTGTCAAGAGACTATTCTCTCACTCATGTATACAAAAAGTGGTTAGAGAGAGACAATTGTGACCTTTCAGTGCTCCCAAATGCTCCATAACATACTCATATAAAAATACTTACCAACTTGCCCACTTCCAGTGTAATTTTTCATAAAAAAAGTATTACCAGTTTTCCAAGCCCTAGATAATTTTTATATAAACCTTTTCCATTTTCAGTTTATCTTCTATAAGTAAAAGTATTCCTCAAGAGATTAATCAATACATCCTCAAAATACTTAATTTCTAGTAACAATTTAGGTTTCTGTTTTATGGTTAAAAATAAGTATTTCTGAAAATCAAACAGCATAAATTATTATAAAAGGAAACATTTAACACCCTCAAAGAACAACTCTCAGTCACTTATACCTGTGTCTAACCGTATTTTCAAGCTGATGACTTTCAAGACACGTCTCAACGAGTCTAAGATACTCTTCTCAACAAAATTCAGGAAGAGTTTTTCTAAACTAAGTTTTGCCATTGGTCTCACCGATACATTGTATAAATCTCCTAATCTGCATAAGGGATTTAAACACAAAGTCACTCTGGTTTTAGGGATTTACCTTCAACTCTCCCCATGAAAGGCTGCCCAAATTTGATCATGCTACAAGCCTGAAGAGAACTGCAAAAAGAACCTTCTCAACAAAGAAGGAAAAGAGATGGAGAGATCCAGTATCAAGAATCAGAACACATAATGAAGCAATGCAGAAAAGTGACAAGAAGGAAGAGGCATGAGCTGTAACTGAACTCACAGCAAGTCATCTACTCATTACAAACCTCAGTTACTGAAGAATTGTGTGATGTGAATTCAAATGAGATTGGCATTTGGGAAGCGGTATTTATACTGTTGAGTTTAGACTAGCACAAGAGTGACCATATCCAGCATTCTTTAATTGCTGCTTAAAGCGAGGTTTGGTGATGGTTATAATGTAAGGACATGTGTAGGAATTCATTAAGTGTTTCAAAGGAGGTTTTGATATATTTAGATTGTGCAGAGGTGGTACAAAACTGCCAAATTCTGAGAATATAGTAACAATGATGCTCTGACATTTTGTAGTCTTATAAAGGTCATATATATAGAAGCCAGCTAAATACAGATGACTTTAGTAATTTGTTTATTTTGCTGGAATTTTCTTCTCCCTTTTAAAAATGGTAGTTACATGAGTACTCCTCCCCAAAAAACTCTTACGATTTTAAATACAGAAACAATTCCCAGAGTTTCTCCAAAGTCTGGAAATTTTGGAAACCCTATTCCACCAATATCTAGTTTGCGAAACCCACATTTCAAGAGGCACAAAACTCTGACATTAAAAGGAAGTTCTCTTAGAAACTTAAAAAAGCCCAACCAACCAAACAAAACAACACCAAAAAAACCCCAAAACCTCAAACAATAGTGGCCTTAAGTTTATGTTACTGTCCTAACTTCCTCTTAAGCACTTAGCGATCCCTTCTCAGCTCTGTCCTGTATTCTATAAATCTTATCTTTACAAAGAAAGCTTATTTGTAGTAATTTGGAATATCTTAAGAGCTCAAATCCATTTATTTTCAAAAGTGATGTAGGTATCCAATGCAGCTGAACTTGGAAAAAAAATTGTCTCCACCTAAAAACTTCTGTCAAACACAACAGCATTTTACCTGGGTAAGTGCAGTTACTCTGTTTTCACTAGGAAACAGTGGTGGATCTTCTCCAACTTGGAAATCAAAGTACACAGTTTTGTGTGTGAAAGTAGAGAACTCATTGCTGAAGCAGAATTTGTATGTTCCGTTTCTGGATGCAGTAAATGTGAAGCTATCATATTGTTTCTTCATCTCTTTGTACAATACAATGCCATCAGGATCTTCCAGCCGACAGTCAACATCGTAATGACCTCCAGTGATCACCTGAGAACAAAAACCAAGATATGGTCTCTTTAGCAAAATGGATATTTATGCATTTCTTCTAAGAAGTATCATTTGTCAAGTGGCACTGCAAAGCTTTTTGCTTTGACAAGTGCTTTACAATACAATGCATTAATCTGAAAAACTTTCAAAGCAAGTCTGCAAAATTATTTTCCTATGGAAGACACACAGAAAATAACTAAAAATGCTTTAGGTTCAGCATATGTAATGTCAACTGTATTTTCAAACTGTTCGGAGAGCAATTTTAGTTACTTTGTTATAAATAACTCAACAACAGCAAAGGCTACAGTAGATGAAGCTCAATGGGACTGCACAGACATTACGGTAACAAGTCAACCATTTGCTGTATAAAGAAGTCCTCCATGGAATCAGTTCATCTGTCTGAGACTGCTAACATGCAGTAAGACATTTCCTTTCAGTGCGGCCAGAAGAGTATCTGCCCAACTGTATCAGCTGCCTTAGGCTGCAGGAATGGCGTTCAACCAGTAGAACAAGAATTTCAATCTGTCCAGTCTTCCTGTCTGCTCCTCAACAGAGAAATGTTCTGGGGGTCCTGCTGCCTCCTTCCTGCACAGTTGGACACAGCAGTGCTTCCAAAAACCAGCACATCCAGATAATGCCTCCAAGTGACTCAAAACTTCAGGGTCCCAAGGGTTTCTTTGAGGCTTTGATTATTGTTGGTGTACAGAGTATTGCTACCTGGATTCTACAGAAAGACTGTAGGGAGTTTAGGTATTCACAACTTGGTGTTCTGATGACTCTTACAGTAGCAGTTTGACACTTGATCCTTGCTGCAAATTTTTACCTTTAAGATAAAGCATACTGAAAGAGGAAGAGACTTATATCTAAAGGCATATTCATTTTATGTGTGCAGAAATCGCTGAAATATTTTAGTATCTGTGTATATGCACTTCTCCCCACTGAGCATTGTTTAAACTCTCATCAGTTTACTGAGCTACCAAGTTATTAAAACAATGACTTTAATGATACAATTGAAATAACAAACTGGAGCAGCAGCTCCTCCCCAAAGATGAAGTTTTGAAAGTATCCAGTTGGCAAGCAATAACATAGCTTTTCATTTCAGAAATACAATCTCCAACTTGACCAGGGCGTGCTTTTTACCAATTACATGAAAGTCACTTGCATTCAGCCAGATCACCCTGAAAGTGTCAGTTTACATAGAGGTGGTAAAGACTGGCCAGAGCTTTGAAGTTGCCCTAGGATTCCTTCCCACAGAGCTTGCTTGTGCCTCCTGTTAGCCCTTAAGACACACTGCCAAAGGACATTCACACAGCACTTTAGTCTACCAGTGGCTGGTCAAATCCAGACTTTTCTTTTAGCAATGCTACTCCTGTTCTGGTCACCAAAAAAAATGGCAACAGCAGCCTGATCTGCAGTGATACCCAATTCAAAACTGCAGGGAAAGTACTGCACATAAAAGACTTCATGGAAGAAACAAGCAGGGACAAGAAGCACTTAGGCAGGGAAAACAATACCTAGGAGCTAGAACACATAAGACAGAGTAACAAAAACCAGTATATGGCAGAAACTGAGAAAGAACCGCAGAACTTCAACAAGAACAGTCAGCCTATAGAATCACATAGCCCCTTCAAAACCCCTCAAAGGTAACTGTGATTTCTGTCACCAAGGACGATTTTTCTCTCATGCTGCTGCTTTACTGTCAGTGACTTCATCAGCTAAAGTGCCAGACTGAAAGGCTCCAACCCCGCAGATACACTCACAGGCATCAAAACAGTGATGCTGTACCGCATCCTTGTCTCATCACCCTTTTACTGTTTACGACGTAACCCCAATCTGTACTGTGGTCTGAAATATGAAGCATCAGCTCTTAAGATGTACTGTGCTGATCCCGTCAGTGCTTCGTAAACCACAAGGGAATTACTTTCGCAGCACCTTGTGGGTCAGGTGTGCTTTAGGTATTCTCCGCGCTGTTGGGGCGGGACACGACACGGCAGCGACCAAGGCAAAGACAATGCCAGTTTTCAGAGCCAGCTCTGCGTGTCCCACTCAGCTCTGCACTACACTGAAGTCTCCCCGCCGCAGCTGAGCTGGAAACTCCTCGCTGGATCCAAACAGTCCCTAAACGCCGGAGCCCAGTGGGAGCTTCCGGCAGCGGCCCCTACTCGGGGCCGCGCCCAGCGGGGCCAGCGCGGCGCCCGCGCCCGGGGCGGCGCCTCCCGGCCGGGTACCTGAAACTCGAGGGTGCACTTGGTGCCCTGGGCGATCTCCTCGTAGAAGCACTGCTTGGCGTTGTCGGGCAGCTCGAAGGTGATCTCGGAGGCCTGCGCCACGCAGGCCGCCAGCGCCGCCACCAGCAGCAAGGGCGGCAGCGGCCCCCGGGAGCCCCGCGGCGGCATCGCCTGGCGAAGGGGGAGGCGAGTGGGGCGCGGAGGGGCGAGGGGGCTGCGAGGGCGGCCGGGGCTGCGGGGCTGCGGGGCTGCGGGCGGGACGCGGCGTGGCCGAGGGCCCAGGCGGGACGCACAGCTGCCACCCGGAAGCGCCCGCGCGTCCGCGCCGCCTTCACGGAGCTGTTCCGGGATTTGCGGACGTGTGTCCGGCGGGAAAGGGGCGGGAAAGAGGGTCGGTACGGCTCTGGCGTATCGCAGCTGGCTGCCTGGTTCCTGCGCAGCGCAGGTGCCCGCGGGTTAAATTGTTCCGAGGGTCCCACCAGGAGCGACCTAAAGCTGGGAATGGCGGGCTCCGAGAGGCGGCGAAAAGCGGCCTCGATGCCCTCCGAGAAGCGGAGTACAGAGGGAGGGATTTGGAGAGTTCTGCTTCGCAGATCCTGAAACGTTCAGTGCTCCAGAGAGATAAAGCACCCGTCAAAGTGCACACGCTGTCTTCAGCATTATCGGCTTTCAAGTTCTAATCCAGTAAATAGAATCATAGAATAATAGAATGTTAAGGCATTGGAATGGATCTTAAAGATCATCTATTCTCAACGCCCCCTGCATTGGGCAGAAACACCTCCCACTAGGCCAGGTTGCTGAAGGCCTTATCCAGCCTGGCCTTGAACATTGCCAGGGTTGGGGTATCCGCAGCCTCCTGGGCAACCTGTTCCAATGTTTCACCACCTCACAGTAAAAAATTTCTTCCTAATATCTAAACTAAATTTCCCCTCTTTCAATTTGTACCCTTTATAACTTGTACTGTCACTGCAATTCCTGATGTATAGTCCCTCTCCAGCTTCCCTGTAAGCCCCCTTCAGATGCTGGAAGGTCTCCACACAACCTTCACCTTTCCAGACTGAACAGCCTCAACTTTCTCAGCCTTTCCCAGTTTATAGTTTCAAAAGAAGAAATCAGAAATAACCCTCATCCTTATTATATTAACGTTAAGTTCTGTGGCAAATGAGGTGGACTAGGAAAAAGAAAATTTGGGTCCAGTCTCCCATGCAGGAGCATGAGCTTGTAATGGGGTAGATCTGGTGTCCCATTTTGCTCCCCTTGAAAAGGGGCTGAACCTTCATGAAGTACCTATTGCCAGGAGAAGCACCACACTGGGATGCTACTTCATAATCCTCTAGCCTTGAAGAGAGGAGTCCTCTGTAAGCTTGTTAAACCTGTGATTTTCACCCTCAGCACTGCATAAGAAACCTGGGCATCAGCTGGAAGACTGTGGATTTCACAGAACAGAGGTACCCAAAATTCATATGTTGAGGACTTGGATAGATTTGCAGGTGTGGATTAAAGTGAGATGGGAGACGCTTTACCAAGTACCCAGCCCACCTCTGAAGCAGAGATTTTCTATCTACAGTTAATCCTCAGATGTTTGCTGCTTTCATTTAAACACACTGTTTTATTTTGGATTGCATTTAAGTGTTGACTGATAGCTAAGACGGCTCAAAAGCAGATTATATCTAGGCCATATGATGCAGTTCCAGGCATTTTACTTAAATCAGTGACTACAGGCTCATAGAACCTGTGTCATCTAATCACTTTCTCCTTTATGTGGCAAGAAATACATTTCAGGAAGACTCGCTCTGTGATTTTTGACAGCAACTGAAGCGATCCTGTACAGCTCACAGTTTCCTAGTTCATTGTTTCCAGCTATTTTAAAGCCTCATTAAATGGGCAAAATGAAGCTTACCTAAGAAATTACAATTGGAAACCTGTCACCAAACAACAAAATAGAAGGGGAAAGATGCACAGCAGGCAAGAAAGGTGTCTGGTGACATCTGTAAAATAAGCAAAAACCCAGACATCCCAACCCCCAAAATAAGTCAGCAAGAACAAATGAGATAACTTCCTTTTCTTTTGGGCTAGGCTCAGAGAGTATAAAACATAAACTGAGCGAAGAAAGCAACTGCCTGCAAGAAGCCCTCGAGCCTGGTTATCTTTATCCTGGTGACCAAGGACCACCAAGGATGGAGCCATCAGCACTCACTGCATGGCATCAACTCCACTGCATTGTGTACTTGCAACTCATCTGGAATAGACTTTTTAAGGACTAGTGGTTTTGTATATGTAGTGATCATGATAGTAATTGAGAACTAGCCATTAGCAACCTGAATTGCTTATGAACTTCAGTACTTCTTTCGCAGCTTGAAACTGGCTTGATTTGTTTATTTCTTGCACACCCTAGTCACAGCAATACTCAATTCCCTAAACAGTACATGGAGCTGTATTTTAGTTTGAAACAGTAAAGAGCTGTTTTCTTTTTTGTCTTACTGCACAAATAATATTTTAATATTAAACCCAAAATAAGTTCAATAAATATATTTTAGAGGGAGTCCTATGAAGAGTTTTTCTTTCCAACTGGACAATCTGTTTAACTATGCTCTGTTTCCCATGCTCTCAGTGTAGTTCTTGCCTGAGAAAAATCTTTATGATTTTTTTCTCTATTAGGGCAGAATATTTGCAAGTAGAATTCTATATTCCAACTTTCCCAAGCCTTGCATGCAGAGATATATTTTATTAATGATCTTTTTTACCTTAAGTGTAAAATTAAAACATAGTTCTCAGTCAAAGACTAGAAGAAAACAAGCATTCATTTTATTGTTTCATTTTTTTTCAGAAACAGGTGTAAGCAACTGCAGAAAGACCAAAAAAACTTCCAAAGTAGAATGAATTCAGATGTCTGTGTTTCTTCTTCTCTGCTTAGTAGCTGAGCCAAATTTCAGATCTTTTCTCCTGAGGTAGTTAGAGACCTTTTGCCCATATTAGAGGTTGTAGATATGGATGCAATTTCAAGCAGACAAAATGAGATCTTATGACTCAAATAACATTTCCTGTTATTTGAGTAGTAAAACAGAAAAAGCTGTTCTTCATCTTTACAGTCCTTTAATATGCAGTCCTCCCTACTAGAAGTTTTGTAAGATGTTTTCATAAAATTCATTAGTCAGTGTGGTCATCATATATTTCCATAAATCTAGTTGTGTGCAGTAGTTAAAAAATACACTTTACTATTTTAATTTAATTCTCACTTAGAGTTCATTCCACAGTAGGCTTTATCTTGCTACTTAACCTACCTTTCATGGTATAGTTTCACCATTTTAAGTATCTCAGTTTTAAACATCTTTGCTTTGGGCTTGTTTTGACAGATTTTATATAAATAATAAGCCTTGACCTGTCACGGTATCAAGATATTAATTCCTCTTTACTTGCCAGTACAGTTCTCAATTTTGGATAGGTTAAAATTACTAAAATAAGCCAGCCAGGATAAAATACAAATTAATCTTTTTTCACTTTCCTTCGTACTTTCAGAAGCAGCCTTGAACAACTGTGACACCTGCAAAAAAACACTTGAGTGACAGTCAAGTATACTGATGCGGTTTCATCACACAGTTTCAGTGTGATTTGTGCAATGTCATGCTGTGGAGGAAAAAATCACCAGACCTGAAAACTGCTTGAATTTATCCTTTTTTTCAAGGTTCAGTGCATTTTCTAACCTCTGTTCTCCTGTTTTCAAAACTGCAGTGAACAAGAAATGAGCTTGTTTGAGTCTAAAAAGTCAGTGCACTACTGTCTATGCTCGTATTAATTGATTACATAAAACCCAAAACACGTCCAAACAGTACACACCAAGAAAATAACACATTCCAGTAGAAGTTCTAGATAAAAAACAAATTTAGGTGCACCCAAAATTAAGTATTTACTGTACTTCCACATGTACAGCTTCACAGAGAAACAGGCTGAGAGCTGCTGCAGTACAGGGAGTTGGTCATCATGGAATCAGAAGAAGGGAGATTATTGGGAAAGTTGTGACCCTAGCTACCATCTGAAAGACCCCACATGCACTCTTGTGGAGTCGGTCATAAGTCTTACTGACGAGAAGAATTTGTGAATCTATATTCATGAAAACACAGTCCTTTGATTTTTATCATTTTTTAAAAATATATCTGTAAGTAAGAGGGTCAGATGGATAAGAAGTCTTTTTCCTTTTTTTTTTTAATTCAGAGGGCTGCCTCCGTTGCACTGCCCGAGGCGAGACCTACGCAGGCATGGACCTTCTGCTCTTCCTGTAACACACAAGAGGGAGCGCTTGGTCACCACAACTTTCATAGAACCATAGAGTCATAGAACGGTTTGGCTTGAATGGCAACTTTAAAGGTCATTTAGTCCACCCCCCGGCATTAAGCAGGGACATCTTCAACTAAATCAGGTTGCTCAGAGCCCTGTCCAACCTGACCTTGAGTGTTTCCAGGGATGAGGCACCTCCCAGTTCTCTAAGCAACCTGTGCCAGTGTTTCACCACCCCCATTGTAAAAATCTTCTTTCTTATTTATAATCTAAACCTACCCTCTTTCAGTTTAAAATCATTACCCGTTTCCTTCGCTGTTCTCAGTTTTTGGTTAAAGTATATTCTGTGCCTAGGTTTTTCTTACTTTAAAATGAACTCTTTTAATTCGGTGATAAATGGACATCAGAAAGCTAAAAAAGTTTAAAGTAAAATAGTGGCAATCTCAACCTTACATTATGTTGACATAGCTCAACTGAATGAGCTACAACACCCAAGGCTTCCACATTGGTTAGGCTTACAGTTCAGCAGGGAAGCCACACTTCACATTCCAGGACTCTCCAGCAGTGAGGCTTATAAGCACTTCTGAGTGCGGAGCTGCAAAAGCTGCTCCATAGGAAATGAAGAAATGTTACTCCATGGGAAATGTCTGATATTTCTGTATTCTGTGTTCTGACATCCATGGCAAATGTAACCTGCTCTCAGCAATCTCATCTTTAACAGCTCCCAATCCTCTCCAGAGACAGGTGCCTTCATCAGCCCTGTTACGCAGCATACAGTGCTGGGGTGAGACAGTAGGACCATCCCAATGGTTTCAGTTTCATTAGGACTTAGAGCGCTCAGGGTATGTGAAAGACGTGTTCCTGTTTGTTTTCTGTCTAAAACTGGACTTCAGTGGACTTTGTGAAGAGGAGAGATTGGGGAGGGGTGAAAAACCCCAGGAAGAAACAGACAATGAAAGGCTGACTGCAC